GTAAGCGGCGCGAGTCATCCAATGCGCAACGAATAAACCCCTTCGGGTTTAGGTCGGGGTACACAGCACGAGGCATCACACATTGATATTTAAAGTTTTCTTTGTGGGGTTTTAGCGTTTGGCTTAGGACGACGATTCCTCATTTTTGGGGATTAGAATTTGTCATTTTAGTTCTGTGGTTCAGGGTTTTTTGGTGTTATGCATGCGGTGGTTCGCCGGGATTATATATACAATGGCATAATTTTATGGGCGCAGGATGTCCGGGGGGAAAAATACTCGACGTATTAATATGCAGGGGGGGGGGCAGCGAAGCTTATTACATGAAAATTACTGGGGACTAATTTTCATTTAGTTCGGGTCATTATGCTGTTGGAGTTTTATGAATTTTTTTCGGTGAAGCCCTAGAGACGCGGATTATGGAAGTCTTTGGTGGAGATTTTCGTTTAATATTTGATACAACGCAGAATAGATGAGGATTTTGAGGTAAAAAGGCGCAGGCTTTTTGGAGATCTGGGGATGTTTCAAATGATCTTCAGGGGAGGGGCGGGCAAAATGGGGCACGTTGAGATCTTTTCCGATTGTCAATAGCTTCATTTCGGTACACTGAGAGAAAAATATAATTCTTCTGACTATATTCCATCAGCATTGAATTATAATCAAAAAGTCCTCAACAATTTTTCATGGGTTACGGTAACTATGGCCAGAGAATTAATTACTACAATGGAATGTAGTCATTGCAAATATTTTATAGTTCTGCTCACGATAGATTTGTCGTGGTTACTTTTGAACTTTTGTTAGTTTAACTGCATTTTGATTTGCAAAAATTACGCTTGTGAAGTTACTATAATGTTATGTGCCCCATACAAAAAAAAATCGTATCGTTCACCAAAATGCCTCAACTATTTTCTTATTGTAAATCGAACTTCAGATTTTTCTCTCAGTGTAGCGAAGTAGTAAAACGGTTCAAGTCAATTTTTTTTTTATTAAAGCTTCGGAGCCCATTTTCGGGCTCATTCAGCTGACATGACTAAGAAAAACACAAAAAAAAGAAAACGACTGATAACAGCCTCCAATTATCACAGATTGTGTAATTTTGGTTGTAGTTATCTAGACATTGTTGCTGTTATTTTAACTGTTAGTTTTAAATCTGTAGTTCACATTTCTTAAGAAATTTTGTAATGTCGCTGATGTGTTTCCTCGAGAACCTCAAAATTGGCTTGGCTCAAGTCAATTTTGACTGTTGCTCAGTTTTCAATGAGTATCTCGGAATCTAAGGGGGATAGCAAAATGTTTGTTATAACCTTTTTTGTAGAGCCCATTGAGAGCTGCAACTAATGTAATTACGAAAATTTCGCCATCTCCCTTAGATTCGGAAATATTCCTCAAAAACAAAACTGGGAGATAAGTCGATTTTAACAGTTTTACCACTTCGCTACTGATTTATAAGTGAAAATATTACGTACCGATAATTTTTTCAGTAAAATATAATAATAGTTTTTAATATTATTTTTAGTTACAAGGACGGTGGCGATATACAGTAGTATAAATAAACCTGGAATAATAATAATACGAATAATAATGTCAGTAATAAAAAGTATAATAATTATAAAACTAAAAAATCAGTTATTTGAAATAATAATAATTCTTTTCAGTAAACTATAATAATAGTTTTTAATAATAGTAATAGTGAAGATATTGACAATTTGTGAAGATCACGAAACGTCCTATTTTGCCCGATTCTCCCCTAGGTCTTGGAAGATTTCTGTGAGAAATTTTTTAGAACGTTTTCGATTTTAGCGGAGATTTTTATTTAATAGGTGATACAGCATAGAATAGATAAGAATTTTGTTTTTAAGATAAAAAAATTGTTTTGTAGATATTTCTGAGACGTTTTAAGTGATCTTTAGCTCTACTACAAAATGAAAGTTAACAAAAATTTATTTAATAGTTGATGCAACGCAGAATAATTAACACCTTGGAAATAAAAAAAAATCAATGTTCTATTTTAGACATTTCAAATCATCTCTAGTTCTACCACCAAGTCCTGATTTTATTTTCTAGTCAACAGTCCACAAAATTTAAATTTTTTTCCAACAGTAAATATTCCGTAATTGAAAAAAACGGGAGATTCCACGCTGATCCAAAAAAAAGAACCAAGCCCGTAAATCTGAATTTCCCGAACGATACAACTATTTTCATATTAAAGATTCAGTTTAATATAATCCCTTTAATCCCCCCCGCCAGCGGAATAGAATCTCATTTCCCAAAGTGACTCATAAATCAATAAAGAAGGGATTACATACGAGGAAATGAATAAGAGGAAAATAATGACTCCACTATCAGCGAAATCTTGCCTCCTGATGTTCGATTCTTCCCAGCAATATGAGTTATTAAGTTTTCCTCTTAGACGAACCACCGTAAGTATTTCCGCCTCTACACGTCACGACATCTAATTCCCAAGTCACTACTCACAGAAAATTCCGATAAAGTTTTTCATTGACATTCAAAGACGTCTGTATGCAGATCCTCAATGAATTTATCTCTTCTACCATCGGTATATTCTGAATTATAGACCTCGAAGATATGTTTCTATTTCTCAATGTTCCCGAGTACTCACTGCAAATGTGAAATGATAATCACGTGGCTTCAACGCAAATGCAATTACCTCTCGTGAAATTAATTCTGACTAGTTGAAGAATTCTCTTATTACTGTATTTCCCAGTGAATTAAAGAAGCGGGGAGTTCACAAGTGGGAGAATAAATTGTACCAATCAATTTCAATTAATTCTGTCAATCAATTTTTTTCAGACAATTAATTAATTCTGTCAATCCCCGTAATTTCAACACAGCTGAGTTTTCGGGAAATATCTCCGCAGATAAGGTAGCTAGCGAAATTTCCGTAATTATCTTTTTTGTAGAGGGGCTTAAGAGCTACAAAAAAGGTTTTAACGAAAATTTCGCTATCGGCCTTACCTTCCGAGGTATTCAACGAAAACTGGATAATAATGAAAATTAATTTGAATTTATTTCAATTTTTATCGCTTCGCTACTATTTAATTGCTGTTAACGAGGCGTTTTGACTATTACTTCGATTATTTAATACTTAACAAGTCATTATAATAGTTAAGAAGCCTCGTTAAGAGCAATAAAATCCGTCTATCAACGCACTAAAAATGTGAATGTCACATGAAATCCCCGCAAATGCGATTGCCGCTCGCGAAAATCATTACCACTATTCGATGAATTTCCTCATTGCCATTTTTCCAGTGAATCGCAGAACCGGGAAGTTCACAAGTGAGAGAATAAATTGTACCAATCAGTTGCAATTAATGTTGCCAATCAATTTTTTTCAGACAAACAAATCCCCGTAATTTCAACACAAAACTGAGTTTTCGGGGAATATCTCCGCAGCTAAGGGAGCTAGCGAAATTTTCGTAGCTACCTTTTTTGTATCTGTAAAGCCCCTCTACAAAAAAGGTTATAACAAAAATTTCGCTATCGGCCTTAGATTCCGAGGTATTCATTGAAAACCGATTGATAGTCAAAATCGATTCAAATTTGTGTCAAGTTTTATCGCTTCGCTACTAATTTAGTTGCGATTAATTTAGTTAACGAGGCTTCTTGACTTACTTTGATTATTTAATAGTTAACGAGTCATTATAATAGTTAACAAACCTCGTTAACACGCACTAAAAATGTGAAATGTCACGTGGAAAACCCCTCGCAAAAATCATATCCACTATTCGATGAATTCCCTCATTGCCATTTTTCCAATGAATCTAAGAACCGGGAAATTCACAAGTGATAGAATAAATTTCATCAATAATTACAATAACAAGACAGAGAAATTAGAAACAGGAAAACCTTGAGAGTATCATCGATGTTACATCAATAGCCGGGGAATCAAATGACACTCTTAGTTCGTAAGACGCTGAATACATTGTCAGAATTATCTTTATATGTAGCTGTCTCCTTAGGCGAGCCTAACCGAGTTAGCTGTATACACGAGTATAACAGCAGTCATTTGACAAAGTGCGGGGACAGTTGTGCTATTTCATTTCCCCTCGACAAGTGTCACTCACAAGTTTACAAACTGAGTTGTGCATGCATTAGCCACTGTAAATTAAGGAATAGAGTGGAGATATTTTAACTGAGATTATATTGTCTTGATAGATATGGGACAATGATGTTTTAACATTTTACAATGTCAATGAATAATGGAAATTTTCAAAACCAATAGCGAGTGCGTCAGGTGTTATGAGGCAAAAGGTGAATTATGACGAGTGCATGAGCCCTGGCTATATTCGGGAAAACATTCGCTATTGCACAGTCGTTGGTGAGCATTGTCTCCGATAGCACGCGGAACGATAGTAGACAATAATTTTGGGATCGGTGGTGGCATTGAGTGAGACGTCTTAGGAATAATCGAGTGCACTCTGCTGACATGACGGCTGTGGAAAAGACGCTTTGGCCGCAGTGGCTGGCTGGATTCACAGGTAATTAATAGTTTAGGAGAGGAAATGCACTGTTAGAAATTTTTTGAAATTTTATGGAAGATATTGTAGTAAATCTCATCAGAGTGACATTGAATCGGATTTAGGGAAAAAATGATTATGAAATTCCACGTTTCAAGTAGACTTCACGAAAAGTCATGGGTTTTCAGTGGAACATGAATATTCATAATCATTTTTTAAATGAACAAAACGACATAAACATTTAAATAAACAAAATGACATGAATTTTCAATTTTTCCCTGAATTTTCCGGATTTTTCTGAATTTTCACAGAATAATTAAACTGGAAAATCAACTATTTTATTGATTTCCAGATCATTTGAACAGAAAATCAATGGAATATTTGTTTTTTCCGTGACAAGATTTCTTGAAATTTCAGTGGAACTTGAACACAATAAAAATTTCCGGAATTTAGCACGGAAAATTCAAACCAAAATTTTTAACAGTGTGGGACTGGTTTTAATGAAACTCTTTTTCGCCAGTTTCTCTGGCTGTTCTGACCGCTAGTCTTGCCAACGGCTGGGCTTCACCATTTCTCGCCAAACTCATATCGGATGATGTTGAGACGACTTTCAAAATTACTCCTGAGCAAGGGTCTTGGGTTGCCTCGTTGTTGAGTCTTGGGAGGGTTTTAGGGGCCATCGCGGGGGCCGTATGTCAAGGTAAAGCACTTAAATTTTTATGTATTCATACCGAGAATATTTCATAAGCCCTTTGAAAACGTTTTTTCATGCTTGAAGGAATTAAATTCCATTCTCTACTCAACCTTTTCTATCGTTGATTAACCCCAGTCGGTCACCAAACGCGACCCTGCCATTGGCCACCTCCGCGGGGATTCCCCGCCGTGTCATTTAGGCTTTAGCGTTGCCGAATTCACTCTACACTGCCCGGGCGCGTTTAGCGAGTTTCCGGCAACGTCGCGTCATGGGCAATTTCATTTAACCTGGGAAAAACTAATTCATCTGTCCAAAATAATTTGTTTTCTTTAAGAATTTTTAGGAAAATATGTTGTTCTAAAAACTACTATAATTTTTTAGACACTTCAATTGACAAAGTCAATTTTTTTTGAATTTTTCCGGTTATCCAGTCAATTGTAATTAAAGAAAAATGACGCGCGGCCGGGTTTTCCCTATAGGGTGATCAATCTAGAGTTAATGCCTTCTTCTTGCTCTTGGTGATAGTCCGCCTCCTGTCCTTTTCAGCTTTGCTTTTACGTTAAACAGTCTAACACTTACAGCGTGTGTGTCTGATCTAAATCTCTGTTGATATTGCCCCTAGTTATCTTTGCTACATGACCTGTGTCATTATTTAATTCGTAGAACATACTGCACAGCAATAAAATCCTCAATCAATCAACAAAAACTATCTTCAATTCAAGAATAAGAAAAAAAATGGATCAAGTGCTGAATCCAATTCCAAATTCTTGACGAGTCTTCCTTTTTATTTATATTACCCCTAGTTATCTTTGCTACACGTCTTGTGTCATTATTTAATTTATACAACATAATGTACAGCAATAAAATCCTCAATCAATCAATCAACAAAAACAATCGTCACTTCAAGAATAAGAAAAAAAATGGATCAAGTGCTGAATCCAATTCCAAAGTCTTGACGAGTCTTCCTTTTCTCCTCCCTGAATTTGAGATAGGAGAGGGTAGGGTAAAACGGACTTTTGACTTTTTTTGAAATATTTATGACGTATTGAATTGCTTATGAAATGGAATAATTAACTTCCCGGGCAGGGAAGTTATTGTAATGCCCCCGAAAATGAAAAATCGATTTTCCATGATATCTCCACGTTTCAAGATGTTTCTAATGTTCCTCGATAGTTTTTAACAAAATGTCTGTGAGTGTGTGTGTGTATGTGTGTTACTTTGTACGTATGTGGTCAAAATTTTGGTCAACGATTTCTCGTGAACGAATGATCCGATTTAACTTTTTTTTTCTCCAATCGATACGTCTTCATGTAACATAGACCGGATTAGATTTTGGTTGATATTGGTCTGATGGTTTTCGAGTTATTCCAGAACGAAAAATTCAAAATAGAAAAAAATAACCAAAAATTTCTCATTCTCATAAGATGCTCATAACGAACGATTATAATGAAGAAAAGCTCTTCATTTTCTCCAATTTTTTTCATATATTTTTCACCATGATATTTCTTCCGTTTTTTTCTAATTTTTTATTTATTTTATCAACTTCCCGATCTATCGGGTAGTTATTGTAATCACCCTGAAAATGAATCATTAGTTTTTTGCGATTTATCCACGTTTCTCGGTGTCTAAAACACTTCTGAACAACATGTCTGTATGTATATGTGTGTATGTGTGTATGTAGGTCTGTATGCCACGGAATTTTCGTTAACGATTTCTCCCGAATGACTCGCGCGATCAAGATGATGGAGGACGCAATCGAAAGGTCTTCATGTAACTTAGACCTGATTAGATTTTGGAGTAATTCGCTCCAGTAGTTCTTCCAAATTTTCCTGGAGAAATGTTTGAAAATGGCTAAGATAAGTATTTCTCCTGTATAAATGACGTGGTTGGCATTGTCAACATCAGGATATCACTAGAGTCAATCACTCCAGTGATTTATCTAGGATTTTCTGAAACTCCAGTGATTTTTCCAGTGGTTTTTCCAAAATTCCCTGGAGAAAAGTTTGAAAATCGCTCAGACAAGGGTTTCTCATGAATAAATAAACAGAGTATTGAGAGTTGAAAAGGATTCTTTTAGTCAAAATGGGAGGAATAATAATATCGGGAAGTTGTTAGTGCGATCCGTCCGACGGGTCAGACCCACATGAATACATCCGCTACCAACCCACCCACAATGGGAGCGAGCGCAGCGAGCGACCAACAGCCCAATCCACTAGTTTTATTTTTCAATTGAAAAACAATGATTCCTCTTTGTGATGAGCTTAGACTGAGCTCAATTGATAAATCTGTTTCTGAGTTATGAATATTTTTAAAAAAGTCAAAAGTGTCCATTTTACCCTACCCTCCCCTATTGATAATTTTTTGGAAACAGGCACAATAGGAAGGAAGAAGACAATGCTAGTGGGTACCTTACCCCTAACATTCGGCTGGATGTGCATGATCTTCGCGAAATCAGTGGAGTGGCTGTACGTTGGGAGATTGTGCAACGGTCTGGGTTCCGGGATGATCTGGGGGGCCTTGTCCTTGTACATGGGCGAGATCGCAGATCCGTCCATCCGGGGTTCGTTGGTAAGTCAATCCCCTCGCAATACATTCCACAAGAAAACACGAACGAATGTCTCTCATCTTTTTTTGAAGCGGTGTTTTTACACCTTTTTAATTATTTCAAAAATTCACAACTAAAAATTCAATTAAAAAATATTTGTCTTTCGTCGTTAAGGATCGTTGTAATTGATTGACGACTTGTTCCAGATATTCTTGAACCTTAATGCATCATCGATGGGCTCACTCCTGGGCAACGCCATGGGTCCCTTCCTCGACCTGAAGCAGTACGGCTACGTGGCAGTGAGTCTTGCCGCCGCATTCATAATATTGTTCTCGTGGATCCCCGAATCCCCGTATCACTACATACTCCAAGGAGATTTCAAACGCGCCGAGGCGTCATTGCTCTGGTACAAGCGGCATGCCGATGCGCCCAAGGAGATCAACGAGTTGAAGGAATTTGTGGGGAGCGCAAACAGTGATAGTGAAAGTTTTAAGAATAAACTCAAGGTGTTCTGCAAGCTGAACAATGCCAAAAACATGGCGATAGTGTCAATGCTCAATCTGTTCTTGTACTGTGGTGGACACAATGTGATCAGTTCTTACGCCGAAATTATCATGCGAAAAAGTGATATACAAATTACTCCGAGCATCGTCGTCATAGCTCTCGGGGTGATCATGGTGATTGCGGGGGCTGTTGCCATGATATTTGTGGACAGGTGTGGAAGACGGCCATTGCTCATCTACTCGAGCTTCGGTGTCTGCTTCTCGATGGTGATGCTCGGTATTCATTTTAATTTACTGGCTTATGGGGTCGATCCAGATGCCATCGACTGGCTACCGATCTTGGCGCTTTGCTTGTACAATTTTGCCCTGCCCTGCGGCATGCTCTCCATGCCCAATACTTTACTCGGTGAACTATTCCCTCCGACTTTGAAGACTATTGCGTCATTGACATTCACCTGTTCCGCAGCGTTCATCTCCTTCTGTGCGATCAGAGCTTTCCAACCGGTCCTCGATCTCGTCGGGGAGAGGATTATATTCTTCATGATTGCCTCGGCTGCTCTGTGCGTGGCACCCTTCACTTATTTCTTGGTTCCCGAGACCAAGGGGAAGACCCTCATTGAGATACAGAAAAATATGGACAGCAAGAAGAAAGATGTGATCACTCGTCTGTAGGAGATTTCTCGCGTTAGTTTGTTTTAGTCACTATTCTATCTTGTTTCAGACACACATTATGAAAATTACCACCGTATTCATGACTCATTTATTAGGGACTCATTTATTAGGTACGTGACGACGGGAGGGAGCAGACATTAGCGGAACGGGTGACGCCAACGAATGCTGCATCTTCCCTTCCATAAATCATTTGAATTCATTGAGAAGAAAAATATTGAGGAAAGTATCTTTTTCAATTAACCTTTCGAATCTGTGTGGACGGAATAAATCTTGAAAATTATTTTCTGTTTCTCGAGCGCAATATCCATTTGCAATTATTTCTTCTGTTTGTATTACTCCTCTCGGAGAATGAGGAGAGTAAAGTAATTCAGCGAAACGTCGAGTCCTTTGTGCATTCAATCGATGTCGTTATTTTTACAACATCCCTTTTACTTTATCATTCAGTTTGTCATGGAGAACATCACATTCATCGATAATAAATTACCTACTTTCAATTGTTTTGTATTACATATCCTCGGAGAATAAAAATCTTCTCAAAAATTTCTGCGGACGTCATCCAGTGGAACTGGTTTTTTATGGCGTATAATAAAAAGATTGAGTGAATGAAACGAGGAATGACTTTTAATAAGACCAGTGGCTTCGTGTTCACACTAATCCATAAACATGCTGCCAAGTCACTCAATCTACGTACGTATATGGTAATTTAATTAATTATAGGTCTAGCATTAATGCTCATAACTGCTGTTTTATTCTGCTGATATTCCCTCCATAGACTTTATTATTCCTGTTGTTGAGAATGGGTATTCATTTTCTGATTGAGAATCATCGCAATGGTTTTCACAAAGTTAGATAACCAAATTTCATTATCATTTCCAACAATTTTGATTTATAGTTTCTTTTTATTGCTGTATGAACCGATTGGTTCTGGGCGGAATAATGATGAGAAAAGAGTTTTTTTAAATGAAAATTAGAATTGAATGGGATTTGAATTTTTCTTCTCAATTTTTGTATATCCAATTTTATTATCCTCATTTTAATTTACTTATGTTAGGGAAAGACTACTGTGAGTTTTAAATGTCGCGGGCTATTGGAGTGAGATTACTCATACATTGAAGATCGATTATATATGTCTTCAAACGAATAATTAGCACAAAAAAACTAATTGTTTACTGTTAAAATGTTAAAAATAGTCCAGGGCCTCCAATTTCTGAGCTACAGAGGTTTTTTTTTGCGAAATTTTTGGAAAAATATGTGCAATAACAATTACGAATGAGTTTTTTGCAATTCAACTCCTGCACAGTTAGTTTCGTTGTTTTAATGAAAAATTGCACCATTCATGTAAAGTAGCCCGAAAAATATATCTGAAAGAATCGAGAATATATTTTTAACATTTTAAGGATAATTTTTCTGCCTATTTTACATGAACGGCATAGAAATTTTCCAAATTTCTATATTAAACAAAATGAAATTAGCTGCGCAGGAGTCGAATTGCAAAACAAAAAAATTTTCTGGAAATTTGTTGGTACACATTTTTTCAAAAATTAAAAAAAAAAATCTCTGTAGTTTGTGACGAAATTCCAGGCGAATTCGTCACCTGCGGAACTCCAGGGTATTTATGTATAGAAAGAGAGAGAGAGAGAGAGAGAGAGAGAGAGAGAGAGAGAGAGAGTAAGATTTTATAAACCGTTACCTTTTTGTCGTGATATAAAATCTATACGGAGAATTAGAGCTACCTGCTACCTTAACTCTACTTCAGAGCTACCTTAAGTTCGGAAAACTACCTAAATTGGTTACCTATCGCGTGAATCGATTCCCTAAATTTTGAGAATAATATTCATTAAATAACTTCATTAAATAAACCAGATATTTTGCAGATATTTCTTTTTTTCGAGTCATTTTTGTTGAGTTAAAGTTTAGTAATTTTGAGATTTTCCTACGTAAATTCGGTTAAGGATCAGGATATCACCGTGGAATATTTGGCCAAGATAATGTGCTACCCAGTGTTTCCCGTAACCCTTTTTGGTTTGTCGATAGAGTGAGTACATAGGTCGAGTTGAAATGCTTGCGCTCCCTTGAGCGAGAGTGTTAGGGCTTTCAGTTGGAAGGCCGTGGAGACGATCAC